CCCAGGCCAGACCCGAACTGCGCAGGCGCCGTGGGCGGGGCTCCCGGGACCGGAGCGGAGGTGGGCGGGGCGAGGGCTGAGGGCGGGCGCGGGGCCGCGCTCGCTGCGTGTTGTGTGCCCCATGGAGATGCCCGCGCGGGAGGCGCGCCCCGAGGACGGCGCGGGCCGGGCTGCCCCGGGCAGAGAGGACCTGAGCAGCAGGGTGAGTGTGACGGGCGGGCAGCCGGGCGGGGGCGGGCGCCAGGGCCCCGCGCAGGTCCACCGCGCAGCGTGGCCCGGTCTCGGCTGGCCCGGCTGCCTGGCTCCTTTAAAAGGAAATTATCTCAGAGGGAGGGAGGGTGGGAGAGAGAGAAACATCCATGATGAGAGAGGTTCATGGATGGGCTGCCTCCCGCACGCCCCCCACTGGGGATCGCGCCTAACCGGACCTGTGCCCCGAGCGGGAAGGGAGCCGTGACCTCCTGGTTTGTGGGTCAACGCTCAGCCGCGGGCCACGCCCACCACCGGGCCACGCCCACCACCGGGCCACGCCCACCACCGAGCACGCCGGGAGGGCAGCCCTGCTCCTTTTACTCTCAGCGCTGGACAGATACTGTGGAGGGAGACCCTGAAACGTGCTGGAACCGACCCAACTGGCAGCGGGCAGAGATTTGTTTGGGAGGAAACTTCTAGAAATACGGCCCACCCCAGCCGGGCTGCGGGTATTCTCCATGCGGGAAAACGGCACCTCCATCCGTCCAGGAGCTCGGGAGCCACCCTTGCCGTCCACCACGAAGCCCACCCATCTGCGGCTGGAGCCCGTGTCACAGGTCCCTTCATCGCCCATCACCTACTCCAAGCACGTCACACTCAGGCTCACAGCCTAAGATAAAAAGCGCTAAGTGTATGTGGCCGCAAAAACACAAAAGCGTCCATTTTCATAGAAACAGGTTTATTTCGATGGAGACATGCTGAATACAAAGGGCTGAAATAAGTGAGTCGTTAACATAAAATAATAGAACATTTTAATAAAAATCAATATTTTTTTCTTGAACATTAACTTACCAGACACTGAATAACTCACCAATTAATAAGTGTAACACAAATAAACCTATTTCTCTTGTTCTCCAAAAGCGAAATATTTCCTGTTGCGCACACCAAACAAGTCAGTGCAAGGCTAATGACATGGCCATTGGCTGCTAACTGGTGTGCCTGCGCATAAGGCGCGTAAGGGAAGTGAATGCAACGTGATTACAGTAATCAGTCATTAGCGAGTGTTGTAGTTCGTTATTATGTATAACAGGATATTGTAAAAGTTAAGTTATGACATTTTTATTAAAATGTTTCTTACCTACTGTTATATTGGCTGGGCCACAAAAATATTCATTGTGGGCCGCATGCGGCCTGCAGGCCACGAGTTTGACATGCTTGGTATGACTGGCCTTTATCAGCCATCTCATCTACCCGCCATCCCGAGCCCTATGGGGCTCCTAACTGGTCTCTCATCCGTGTGACCTCCTTCCAGTCTGTTCTCCACTCGAGCCAGAGCAGTGATCCTAAAACACATAGCTGATTATCACTCTTCTACCCAAAAGAGGGGAGAGGGGAGCCAGTATAATACCTTACCTGCCATTGCCAGCCAGAACCTTTAAAAATGTATTGGAGTTGGGATGGTTGTGGCCATTCAGGGATGGGGTGCCCTGGGTCCTTGGTTCTGTCCTGAACTAACAGTTCTGTCTCGGGCAGGTCTCTGGTCCCCGGTGTCAGTTTCCTTGTTTGACGTGAAGTGAAATAGATGGATACCTGCCATTTCTAAAGTGAATGGGAAAGCTTTGTTCAGACACAGGTTTCAAGGTTGTACAAATGGGGTCTTGGAATTCGAGTCAATGTAGTCAGTTACTGTACTGACTGTGAACTGGGGAGACAGGAGGGAACACTCCTGGGAGGGGTGAATTTCCAAACCGCACACAGGCCACTGAGGACTCCAGGGCAAGCCACTTACACTGGAGTGTGACGGGCCCTGAGGGAGGTGATGTCGGGCAAAGGTTGTTAACGTGGGTTTAGAGGCACTGGCGACTCCAATCCTGTTCACAAAGTAGCTACTATTACTGAAAAGAGTTAGAAAAACCTTCCTTTCCACTTAGCTGAGCCCTTTCTCCTACTAATGAAAAATGAGGCTGCCTTCAGCTGCCAGCGCTGTGCTAGTCTTAAAGCAGAGAGGAAGGCGAGAGGTCTTGCTGCTTGTTCCGAATGCATAAATCATGAACAGTGTTGGTATTGCCCTAACGGGTTTGGCTCAGTGGCTAGAGTGTCGGCCTGCAGACTGAAGGATCCCAGGTTCGATTCCAGTCAAGGGCATGTACCTTGGTTGCAGGCACATCCCCAGTGGGGAATGTGCAGGAGGCAGCTGATCGATGTTTTTCATCGATGTTTCTGACTCTCTATCCTCCCTTCCTCTCTGTAAAAAATCAGTAAAATATATACAAAAAAGAAAAGCATTGGTATTTGAGTGGTGAGAGTAGCCCACTCTTTCCATTTGCTATTCTTCACTTTAAAAAGCTAAAACATAAATCGTTTGAAAACGGGTGCATATTGTCTATTTTAAGTAAAGTGTATAAGCTGGCCTTGCGTGTGCTGATGACCAATACCGAACCCGGGTCTGGGCTCAGTGGGCTGGATAGCACTTGGCGAGTGCAATGCTGTGTCCTCGGCAACTTCCCGCACCCGCACCTCCCACACGGCCGGCCGCTGAGAACACTGCTCACAGGCCGGCCTCTGGACAGTCGGCACACTTAGCCCCTTGTCCCACTGCTACTTCTCAGGAGCCCCCAGGGAGCGGACTTTGATTTAAGAAGTTTTTCTTTATCTCAATAGATTAAAGAACAAAAGATTGTCGTGGATGAACTTTCTAACCTGAAGAAGAACAGGGTGAGTTACTCAAGTGATTCTGAATACTGAATAGTATGTGGGAGGATTTGATTGTATCTTATTACCTATATACTGAAGTTATAAGAATTATTTTTTTAAATTTAAATTCTTTATTGTTTAAAGTTACAAGAATTTTATATAAGATTTATAATATTTTAGCATCTTAAATTACAAAAATGAAGTGTCCAAGATTTTGTATATATGCATATGCAGATAATACTAGTACATAGATATCTATATAAATATATATTTAACTTTTGTAGTTCAAGAGAAAATATCGGTAAATATATAGATAGCTATATATTGATCATAATTGATAGTATCTTTTCCCCATCATATGAAATTCACATTACCTTTGAACCAAATTATACTAATTATACTATGATATTTTGGAGTTGTATTAACTAGTGATATTTATTTTGTACTTAAATATGATTTTTTAAAATAAGTGAACTTTAAATATATTGAGAAGAGAGGAAACTGTTCCTTTAAGTGAAAGTAGAGAATTGTTGAAAAACAAAACGGATAAATTGCTTCCCCTATCACTCCCACATTTTCTTACATAAATATTCCAAATATCTAACATGGTTATTTAATGCCATTTCCATTCATGTAGGCACAAGCAAGCAACTGCTGCTTCGTGTGTGCTTATACTGTCAAAAAACTACATTTTGAAGTTTAGGAATAAATGATTTTGAACCTTTTAAAGCATTTTACAGATTATTTGATAACTGACAGGTTAAACATTTCTGGTATTATCACTTGTGGAATATTAGAGGTTAAGGCACAATTGATACAGACTTTGTAGGCAAATTGGCAGAATGTGTCAAAGCTTTAAAGGTGTGTAACACGTTGACCCTGCAGTTCCATTCCTAGGAAGTGATACTTAGGAAAAAATCATGAAGTGCACAGAGAGTTAGTTACAAAGACATTCATGGCAACATTGACTTATAATAGTTAAAAGTCTGTAACACCTTAAATACCTAAAACTTGAGGACTGACCAAATAAGCTGTAATATGTTTTACCCATACAGTAATTTTGTAAAATAAAACATATTAATAAGAAAAAAGTTCTCAATATATTCATTGGTAAAATCAAGTTATAAATCTGTAGTTATAGGAGCCCATTTTTGTTAAAGAAAAATGGTATTATGGAATATGCAGAGAAAAAAGAATTTCACCTCAGAGTTAATGGTAGCAATGGCAGGATAATGAGTAACTTTGTTTATCTTTATGCTGAGGTACTGTTCTGATCATGTTACTGAAATTTACGAATAAGTAATGATAGGGTTCAGAGTTTTGACATCTACTTTTTAGATCAAATCTTAATATTAACCTAAATTGTGTTTTGCAGAAAGTTTATAGGCAGCAACAGAACAGCAACATATTCTTTCTTGCCGACCGAACAGAATTGCTTTCTGAAAGCAAAAGTAAGTTTTTTTGGTGTATCATATGGAAATGCACAGAGTATAGGCTTTCTGTACGATTTCATGGTAGTACCTAAAACATACTATCTGCATCTGAATGTGGAAGTATTTATCTAAAGATTGGGCGATGCTACACCTGTTAATAAAATCAGTGCAGTGGTTTGGTTGTCTTCAAGTTAGCCTTCCAAAGATGAGTTTATGGTAAAGATAAAATCAAGTAAAAATACAAAGATGTGTTAGCACTGATTAGTAACATGTGCTTTAGAGTTTGAGATGATCTAGATATGAAACTATTCTATCACTTTCCAAAACCTTTGTGACTTCGCATGAATTACTTTGAGCCTCCAAAGTCTGGTGGCATTTAAATGAGATGGTCTATGTAAATGAGATGGTCTATGCATAGCCCAGTGCCTGGGCCAAAATAAGCATTTAATGTACAGAAACTAGTTTCCTAAGAGGTTAACATTCATCCTGAGAAGCCTGTTTTAAATTATTAATTTGCACTAACACACTGCGTTATACTCAAATGGTTTGATTTTGGTAATTGTCATCCTGTGAATTACTAGGTTTATTGATTTTACTTAATATTCTTCTCCATTCCCCCCACAGATATATTGGATGAGCTGAAAAAAGAATACCAAGAAATAGAAAACTCAGAGAAGACCAAAACTAAGAAATAGTCCACCTGATTTCACGTAACCATGTGTGGCATTTGTTGTTCTGTCAGCTTTTCTATTGAACATTTCGGCGAAGATTTGAAAGAGGACTTGCTGTGTCACCTTAGACGACGGGGACCCGATAGCAGTGGACAGTTGTTGAAGTCGAATGCGAACTACCAGTGTTTATTTTCGGGGCACGTCCTTCACCTAAGAGGGGTGTTGACTGCCCAGCCGCTGGAAGGGGAGAGGGGCGACGTGCTCCTGTGGAACGGAGAAGTCTTCGGTGGAGTGCAGGTGGACGCCGAAGAGAATGACACTCAGATCATGTTTAACTGTCTTTCCTCTTGTCAGAATGAGTCTGACATCGTGTCACTCTTCTCGGAAGTTCAGGGTCCTTGGTCTTTTATCTATTACCAAGCATCTAATCATCATCTGTGGTTTGGTAGGGATTTTTTTGGTCGCCGGAGCTTGCTGTGGCATTTTAGTAACTTGGGCATGAGTTTCTGCCTCTCTTCAGTTGGCTCCCACACATCGGAAGTGGCCAACCCATGGCGAGAAGTTCCAGCATCTGGAATTTTCAGAATTGATCTCAAATCTACTTCCGTCTGCAAATCTGTGGTTTTAAAATTGTATCCTTGGAGATCCATTTCTAAGGAGAACGTTCTCAAAGACTGTGACGATAGCCTGGCTCAGATTTCAGCGAGCCTGCCACCGTTTGTATCCGTGGCAGCAAACGAAGCCAGACTGTGTCTGAAAGAACCTGTCGCTCCTCTGAACGTGCTGCTGCCCCCGGCTCCAGCTGCTGCCCTCCGCGCCGGCACTGCCAGCTGCCCTCCCGCGGGAGACACGCTGCGGGCCCTGCTGACGGACGCGCGCACGCAGGAGGTGGTGGGGCGGTTCCTCGCTGTGCTGAGCAGCGCCGTCAGGCGGCGCGTCCTGTGTCTGCCTCGGGAGGCGGCCCGGCCACCGGGCGCCGTGTTGGGAACTCGTGACCGGAAAGCAAAGGTGGCAGTCCTGTTCTCCGGGGGTGTTGACTCCATGGTCATTGCAGCCCTTGCTGACCGTCATGTTCCTTTAGATGAGCCCATTGACCTGCTGAACGTGGCTTTCATGACGAAAGAAAAGGCCGCCCCGGCCAGTTCCAACAGCAAAGGGAGGAAACAGGGAAACTGCGAAATGCCGTCTGAGGGATCGACTCCTGATGCTGCTGCCGGTCCTGAAAAGGGAGCCGGTGCCCCCGACCGAGCCACGGGCCGAGCGGGCCTGAAGGAGCTGCAGGCCGCCAGCCCGGCCCGGGCCTGGAATCTGGTCGAAATTAACGTTTCTCTGGAAGAACTGCAGGAGCTGAGAAGAGCTCGCATACGCCACCTGGTCCAGCCCTCGGACACGGTGCTGGACGACAGCATCGGCTGTGCCGTCTGGTTTGCTGCCCGGGGAGCTGGCTGCCTGGTGGCCCCGGAGGACATGAGGCCGTATCGGAGCCAGGCAAAGGTGCGGCCGCATCTCCCCCCCAGTTTCTCAGCCCTGTTCTTGCTTGCCCTGGCAGCTTTTGGCATTTAGGGTATAAAAATAAAGCATATTTTAGTTGCATTTAAACTACAATGCAATGTATATGACTTTTTAAAATTTGGGCATATTTTACTTTCTTATGACTTTGTCTAGTGGTTTTTCTCTGAAAACGTGATCTTTGCGGTAGTGACTTTAAGCTCTGGTCTGTCTTACCCTCTGTACTGCATGGTGATGGCAGCTCATTGCAGTTTCTTTCACCGTCACAGGTCGTGCTGACCGGGATCGGTGCGGACGAGCAGCTGGCAGGCTACTCCCGCCATCGTGCCCGCTTTCAGATGCACGGCCTGGAAGGACTGAACAAGGAGATTGAGATGGAACTGGCTCGGATCTCTTCTAGGAACCTTGGCCGTGATGACAGAGTGATTGGCGACCATGGAAAAGAGGCAAGGTAACCGGAATCTCATGTAGTTTTGTAAGGATAATAGGCTGTAAAGGGAGATCTTAGGTCCCTTGTTTTCCTTTGGAGACTGTTCAAGTCATAACCGTACCAACAATGACGTCTTGGGTTCAGAGTCAACACAGCAGCGAGGGACGATGGGTCACTTGGTTATGAAAAGAAGACATTCCTTCTGGTGGTTAATTGACTAAGTGGCCGTTGACTACAAGGATTCAGCATGCAGAGCAGGCGTCCAAGCGAGCTCGTGGGGTGTGGAGCATCATAACAGCCACTCTGAGCCGTCGCTTCTTGTCTATTCCACCCTCTTCCTGCTTTCATGGAGCTCTGGTTGCCTTTGTACCATTGTCATTCTCATGTTACCAGTTCTAACCCATTTGAAATTTTGACCACAATGTCATCATTCTAATCATCTTCGAATTTTCATTATAAAAAGATAGTGTCACAATACAGAGGCTGTAAAATGTTTTCCTTTTGAAGGGTGTGTCTTAGAGATGAGAAAAATAGTGCCCTCAAAAATTAATGTATACTGTAAATTTTAATGTATTGAATAAAATGCCAAAGAAGTAATCATAACAGGTTGGTTTTATTTTTTAATAGTGTTTGTATTTATCTATCTATCCTAGATTTCCTTTCCTGGATGAAAATGTTGTCTCCTTTCTGAATTCCCTACCAGTTTGGGAAAAGGCAAACTTGACTTTACCCCGAGGAATCGGCGAGAAACTGCTTTTGCGTCTTGTAGCCATGAACCTTGGTCTCACAGCCTCTGCTCTGCTGCCGAAACGGGCCATGCAGTTTGGGTCCAGAATTGCAAAACTGGAAAAGAGTAAGGAAAAGGCATCTGATAAATGTGCAAGGCTCCAAGTCACTTCCTTAGAAAACCTTTCTATTGAGAAGGAGACTGAAGCATAATATTCCACAATGTAATAACATTCACTAAATGGTGATACAACAATAAAACCTGCTTTGTTATTGTATAATATGGTAATTTTAGAATTTACTGTGCAGCTTAACATAGCCAAGCGAGTCATATTGACAGACTGCAGAAAGAAGGATCGTGCTTGAAAGAACAACTGGCATGTTTTTAAACTGATGTCGCCATTGCTTTTAACTCTTCATGGAAATGTCCCGCCAGCAGCACTGAACAAGGCAGCCTTTACTGACTCTTCATGGGAGCTGCAGCAAACATGACTCCGTTCACTGTTGTCAGGGTCGTGGTTTACGTGGGGTACAGGGACCCTGTGACATTCTAAGCGAACGAAGGTTTAGAGAAGGTAAACATTGCGTGAGGTTCACACTCCTGAGCAATACTCGGTTCTTCTGTTACATCTCCTTAGGCAACTCATTTTCCCACTCAGACTCTTGAGGACTTAAACATTCTCCTGTCCCACAAATCCCTACCTGGCTCTTCACAGCTCCGCCATCAGGCCGAGAGCTGCCGCCGCCCCCCAACCCCAGGACTCCGACTCACCTGCAGGCACCCCTCTCGTTTTCTCCCTTCTCGCCTTTAGGAAGGGAAATGTTGGTCCATCATCAAAAGGCGGGGCCTCCACCGCTTCTCTGCATCCCAGCCCTCCCGCCCTTCAGGAACTGCATGCTCCTCGCCAACACTTTTAGCCTCTTCACTGTTGGATCCTTCCTCTCTTGTCTAGAATATTCCAGCCCACAGCCATTTGAAATGCACAGCCCTGGTCCTCCTCTTCCTTACTTACCATCTCGTATCCCACGCACACTCGCCCTCTCCACCTTGTCACTGACTCACTGCACTCCAACGAGACATCCACCCACATTTCTCAGCTGTGACCACCATCCCAAGGTCACTGTTAGGGATCCGTCCCCGATTAGGGCTGACACACTTTCTGGAATGGGCATAATTTGATTCTTTTAATCATAGAAAGAAATATTAGGATACGTGTGCAACAAACAATTCTGTCAAGGACTTTCACATTCCCTGACTTGATTCCCTGGTGAATGCAATGTTCAAACCAGATTTAGGTATTAACCTGAATAGCTTTCCACCTAAAGGCAGACAACTTCAAGTGTCTGACCCTGAGCACTGATCTGACATTGCTCCCTATTGGGAGGGGTAGACTAAGGTTGGCCCAAGCAGCCTAGAGGGGGGTCTGATAGTTGTTATAATAATACAGTTCAGTCCTGAATCAGCTGTCATTTCTATAGTGCTCTCACGTGTCAGGCGTGAGCTTTACGTGGGGTAACGATTCCATCGGCTGAACCTCTCGGGAGTCTCCAGGGCATCTGCTCCAGCAGGTCTCTGCATGTTTGTTTTTGCCTGTTGGTGTGTTGTTTTTTTTCTTTAGTCCCCAGAGGGCCTGGTTGTTTACAGCCTTCTTGGTAATTAATCCCATAAACTCTGGGAAAATGTGCTGTGTTAACGCTTACAGGAGCAATCCCAAGATTTGAGACACTTGGAACAAACCATCTGGGTACCTGAACAAAAAACTTCTAGAGGAATTCACAGTTTTGTTCACGCTTCATAATTGCAAACATACAAATCTCACAAAGAAGGCAATGATTTTTGACATCCCTTGCCCTGGAACAACAATCACACATTATTTACCTCCATAGCGGCTGTTAAGAGGAAACAGCAGACCCAACATGGAGTCACTGGTGTTCAGCTCCACCAAGACTTAACAGCGAACCCAGTTTCAGCGCCGCCTCTCCAGGAGTGGGTTTTGTAAGCCAATCCGTCTGATTCTCCTGGTCAGCACTAGTGAGGCAAGCTGCCTGATACGACCCCTGCCTTTCCCTACGGGAAGCTGACCTTGCTTGAAATGATCCATCCTCTTAACGTTCCTTCTACCGGCAAAACCTCCGTAGAGCTTCCTTCTGTTCACTAGATTGGGTACTGCCAACTCACGAATCCCTCTGTGATGCAAATTTAGGTTTTTAAATTTACTAGGTTGAATTCTTGGTCTTTAAAATCACTAAAATATGATAACTCAGTTAAAGCATCATCCTGATATGCCAGGGTTTGATCCCTGGTCAGGGCCCATAAGGAATCACCCAATGAATGCATAAATAAGTAGAACAACAAACCAACATTTCTCTCTAAAAATCAATATATGCAATTTTTTAAAATCACTAACATCTGTTATAATTGGAGTAAGAAATCCTGCCCCCACACAGTCCCCAAACACCTCCATGTTGCCAAGTTCAGTGGGACAGTTTCCGTTCGCATCTCCCTTGCCCTGGCAGCGAGGCTGGCCAGTCCCTGGTTCCTAAACACTTCTCTTGGCTTCTGTGGCCAATCCTGGCTTTCCTGCTGCCCTCCTGGCCACTTGCTCCTTGTCTGCTGACTCCACCCTTGCTACCTGACCTTTAAATATTGGGTTCTTTGGGTCTCCATCCTGGGTTCTCAACTCTATTCTCTCCCCTGGTGATTTCAGCCATTCCCCTGGTTTCAACTACCCCAAACCTCCCGAATGTATACATCTAACTCACGCTGCTACCATAGTTAGCCCAGACCTGAGGAAGGCATGGCTGACATCTCCACCTGGTTATGTCACAGGTACATCAAGGTCAATATGTCCACAACCGAACTCTGAAATCTTGCCCTGACCCCCTGTTGCTCTAAAAAACCTCACCTTCTTTTCAACGTTCTATCCACAGGCCCCTCATGCTTCCTCAAGTCCATCCACAGCCTCCACCTCCACCGCCTCCGCGCTAGCCCATCCCCAGCCTCTACTGCCACCAACCCAGCCTACACGTTTGGAATAAAGTTCAAAATCCTTAACCCGGCAGCCCGCATGATCTGGCCCTCACCTGCCGCTGTGGCCTCGCTTTGTGCCCAGTTCTCTCTCGTTCTCTGTGCGAGGTTCTGTTCAGTTTCTCAATAATTTCCATTTTCTTCCCACGCCAGTGATTCAGCACCTGCTCCCCACCCCTGTCCTTCCCCGGGCCTTTGCCTGAACAGCCCTTTCACCCCTAGGCTCAGCTGAAAGGTGTTCCTCACGGCCGCCTCTCCCAGCCCCAGTTCCGGCCGGCTCCCCCTCCTGTGCCCACTCATCTCTCATCTGTCACAGGTGAAACCGGCATGGGCACCGTCCCTGACAGCGCCCTGCGGCTTTGTGTCTGTGTTCCGGGTCTCCAGGTCCCAGCCAGCGCCTGGCTCACAATAGGAGTTCCATCCCGAGGAGGGAGAGAATGGTGATGTGAGCTCATCTGGGGCCCTCTGAGAGCCTGGGCGTGGCCTCCTCTGGTTTCTGGCGGGTTGGTTGGCTGGCTGACTGATTGGTTGGCTGGTTGGTTGGTTGGTTGGTTGGTTGGCTGGTTGGCTGGTTGGTTGCTTGGTTGGTTGGCTGGTTGGTTGGTTGGTTGGCTGGTTGGCTGGTTGGTTGGTTGGTTGGTTGGTTGGCTGGTTGGTTGGTTGGCTGGTTGGTTGGTTGGCTCGTTGGTTTGCTGGTTGGTTGGTTGGCTGGCTGGTTGGTTGGCTGGCTGGTTGGTTGGTTGGCTGGCTGGTTGGTTGGCTGGCTGGTTGGCTGGTTTTCTCTGTAGAGATGAATCGTGAAAGTAAAAGATAATAGAGGCCTAGTAACTGGAGGTGAGGAGGGCTGAGTTTAAAGAGGGGGTGAGGGTGGGGCAGGTGCAGAGCATAGGGGGATGCGGGGGGGTGCAGGGTGGGGGGTACAGGTGGAGGTCCTGGAGGCCAAGAGCTCTGCCCCGCGGAGAGCCAGGCAGAGGGCTCCCAGGGCAGGGCGGCCACATGGGGCACGCAGGCCTCCCCAGGCCCTGGAGTGAGGGGGCTCCTGACGGCAGGGCTCTGCCCAGGGGTCCCCGGGGCCTGCGTGGACCAGACAACCGTCATTCAGAGTCGGCTGCCCTTCCTCCTGGCCTCCCCGGGCCCTGCCCACGCGGGTCCTGGACTTGCTCAAGGACAGGCCTGGGCGGTCCTGACTGTGAAGGTGGGAGCCCCAGGCGCTTCGGGAACCTCCCTGTCCCTGTTGCTGCGCCTGCGTAGCGGGGAGCCTGAGCCTGGTTCTCAGAGTGGGGTTCCCCCAGTGTCCTGCCAGCAGCAGCACCCCCTAACTTCTCAGAAAAGCACATTCTCTGCCCCCTCAACCCCCTACCCCACCCCCCACTGACTTGGAAACTGCAGCGTAGGCCCTGCAATCTCTTACCAGGTCCCAGCTGATTGCAGCGCTGGGAGAACCACTGTGCAAAGGAGGGGCGAGTAAATGACATAAAATAACGGTGCAGAGTTAAGCGAATAGTAGGTGTTCAATAAATGATGGTTGTCATGATCATTATCCCAGGAACAGAGAGGTAGGTAGTTGCACAGAAATGTGAAGTTAAGCAAGCACTTCTTGTCTTTCCTTTTCTTTTAAGCAGGTTTTTATTTTCTTACTTAAAAAAATAAATTAAATAAATATATGCCCAAAAACCTCTCCAAAAAAAAAAAAAAAATAGGTATGCAACATTAGCTTCTCATATATAGACACATTTCTTTTTGACGTATTAGTCTCTTTTGACTTTAGAAAAGCAGAACATGATTAATGTTAAAGGTTTTACAATTTCAATTGTTTTAATTCAATTTTCAACTTCCTTATGCTGTGATTAGATTCAAATTGAAAACTATAATAGATCTACCATAGGACCCAGCAATTCCTCTTCTGGGCATTTATCTGAAGATAATGAAAACACTAACTTAAAAAGATATACTTCGCTAGCTAGTTTGGCTTAGTGCATAGGGCATCGGCCTGTGGACTGAAGGGTTCTGGGTTCGATTCTGGTTGGGGGAACATGCCTGGGTTCTGCGCTCGATCCCCAGTAGGGGTCGTGCAGAAGGCAGCCGGTCAATGATTCTCTCTCATCATTGATGTTTCTCTCTCTCCCTCTCCCTTCCTCTCTGAAATCAATAAAAAAATATATTAAAAAAGATATATACTCACCCCATATTCACTGCAGCATTATTTACTATAGACAAGAAATGCAAACAACCTGTGTCCAACAACAAATG